TGACACTCTTGTTTATGGCATCAGTAATCACCCTAGGCTCTTGTCATGAGCTGCCAAGGCTATGGAAGCCTTTTGAGTTCACCGACTCTGATCATATTTAGACAAGGTCGTAGTCAGAGTGGAAGTTCTCTCCCCCCTTCAGAGAAAGGTACCTCCTTCTTTGAAGACCTGTTCTTTCCACTGGGATCTCACTCACGGAGATCTTTCATTTAGGTTTTGTTTTTGTTGTTGTTGTTGTTTTTTTGTTTTGTTTTGTTTTGTTTTGTTTTGTTTTTTGCCAGAGTGTCTTGACTTTCCATGCCTGAGATACTCTCATGGGCTTTTCAGCCGGATCCGCATGCCTTAAGTGCTGATTCTGAGGCCAGAGAGTGCTGTTTAGGACATCTCCCATTCTATGAGTCTGCTGTGTATCTCGCTTCCCATGTTGGATCGTTCTCTCCTTTTTTTATTCTATCAGTATTTGCAGACACTAGTCTTGTTTATGTGATCCCTTTGGCTCTTAGTCCTATCATTATGATCAATTGTGAACAGAAATTGATCACTTGGACTAGTGAGATGGCATTGGTACATACACCTTGATGAGATTGAACTGGAATCCCCTGGTATGTTTCTAACTCTACCGTTTGGGGCAAGTCAGCTTGAGCATGTCCCAAATTGCACATCTCTTCCCTCTCTTATTCCCACTCTTATATTTAACAGCGATCGCTTTTCAGTTAAGTTTCAACACTTAAGAATAACTGTGTGTTGATTACAGTATTCAACCAAAAGTATTAAGTAGAACAAGCAAAAAAAAAAATACTAAGAGGGATAACGTATTAAGTTGTTCATCAACAGTCAGGGCAAGGGCTGATCAAGTCACCGTTTCTCATAGTGTTCATTTCACTTTAACAGGTTTCCTTTTTGGTGCTCGGTTAGTTGTCACCAATCAGGGAGAACATATATTTGTCCCTTTGGGACTGGCTTATTTCACTCAGTATAATGTTTTCCAAATTCCTAACAGGGATCACTTTTCAGTTAAAATTTAAACACCTAAGAATAATTGTGTGTTACTTACAGAGTTCAACCAATAGTACAATTTGTATTTGATCAAGGATCCAAAACCAATCCCTGGAGTAAGGACAGTCTATTCAATAAATGGTGCTGGGAAAATTGGATTTCGACGTGCAGAATCATGAAGCAAGACCCCTACCTTTCACCTTACACAAAAATTCACTCAACATGGATTAAAGACTTAAATCTACGACCCGACACCATGAAATTACTAGAGAGCATTGGAAAAACCCTGCAAGATATAGGTACTGGCAAAGACTTCTTGGAAAATACCCCAGAAGCACAGGCAGTCAAAGCCAAAATTAACATTTGGGATTGCATCAAATTGAGAAGTTTCTGTACTGCAAAAGAAACAGTCAGGAAAGTGAAGAGGCAACCAACAGAATGGGAAAACATATTTGCAAACTATGCAACAGATAAAGGGTTGATAACCAGAATCTACAAAGAAATCAAGAAACTTCACAACATCAAAACAAACAACCCACTTAAGAGATGGGCCAAGGACCTCAATAGACACTTTTCAAAAGAGGAAATCCAAATGGCCAACAGACACATGAAAAAATGTTCAAGATCACTAGCACTCAGGGAAATGCAAATCAAAACCACAATGAAGTTTCACCTCACCCCAGTTAGAATGGCTCACATTCAGAAATCTACCAACAACAGATGCTGGCGAGGATGTGGGGAAAAAGGGACACTAACCCACTGTTGGTGGGAATGCAAACTGGTTAAGCCACTATGGAAGTCAGTCTGGAGATTCCTCAGAATCCTGAATATAACCCTACCATACAACCCAGCCATCCCACTCCTTGGAATTTACCCAAAGGAAATTAAATTGGCAAACAAAAAAGCGGTCTGCACATTAATGTTTATTGCAGCTCAATTCACAATAGCTAAGACCTGGAACCAACCCAAATGCCCATCAACAGTAGACTGGATAAAGAAATTATGGGACATGTACTCTATAGAATACTCTACAGCAGTAAAAAAAAAACAATGAAATCCGGTCTTTTGCAACAAGATGGAGGAATCTGGAAAACATTATGCTGAGTGAACTAAGCCAGTCCCAAAGGGACAAATATCATATGTTCTCCCTGACTGGTGACAACTAACTGAGCACCAAAGGGGAAACCTGTTGAAGTGAAATGGACACTATGAGAAACAGTGACTTGATCAGCTCTTGTCCTGACTGTTGAAGTACAATGTAATACTTTATCCATTTTAGTATTTTTTTTTGTTCTAGTAACTCTGACTTTCAAATAAATAAAGAAATATTTTAAAAAATTTATTAAAAATAAGTTATTCCTCCTATCCAGCTGGACCTAGTAACCATCCTCTGTCCCTACCATCCCCCTAACCCTGGCCTCCACATATACCTTTCTCAGGCTCTAGTAACCATTATTCTACTCCCGGCTTGTCAACTTTTTAGCTCCCATATGTGAGAAGATACAGCATATGTCTTTCTGTGTCTGACTTATTTCGCTAAACATGATGTCCTATAGGCTTGTCCATGTTGCTACAGAAGACAGGGTTCCATTCTTTGTAGTACCTGAATAATAATGCATTGTAAATATAGACCACATTTTCTTCATCCATTTGACTGTTGATGGACACTTAGGCTGATTCCATATCTTGGCTATTGTGAATAGACCCAGAATAAATATGGGAGTATAAATATTTCTTTGATATAAGTTTCTTTTCCTTTGGATGTGTACCCACTAGTGGCATTGCTAGATCATGCTGGTAGTTCTGATTTTAGTTTTCAAGGAACTTCCAAACCATTTTCTATGACTGGGAAAGTTGAGTTTCCTCTATGGCGAGGTGGAAGAGTAGACTGCAAATGGACATGGACAAGCAGAGGCCTGGAGGATCTACTTGGGATATGCCAAGTCATGTGATTTTCCTAGGACATGCTCAGCTGCCTCATGAAAGTATACAACAAGTTGAGTGTGTCAGAACTGGAATTTTGCCAGGTGTTAAGGTGAAGAGATAGTAGACAAGGAAGTTGAGAATATTGGTGAAAAAGTGAAGTGACAAAAATTTTAATAATGAAGAAAGGGAATTTACTCAGAGAAAATGTGAACTGGAAATTCCTACGAGGTCAAAGGAAAAAATCTTGACCAAGAAATATGAAAAGATAGGATGATTTGGTCTTACAGTACTCCATAGATTGAAGTGTTAGTCTGACTCCTGAAACCTGACATTAATTTTACTTGTTTTTTGAATTTTTTTAAAAAAATTATTAATACAAAGAGAACATATTTCATGTATTTCATAGGTACAATCCTAAGATGATAATCATACTTCCCTCCCTCCTCCAGTCCCTCAATCTCCTTCCTTCCTTCCTTCCTTCCTTTCTTTTTAAAAAAAATTTTTTGCAAAAGCCAAATTTCAGTCAACTCTATAATTACAGGCTTAATGTACCACTAACCATAATATTCAACAAGTAGAGAGTATAAAGACCACAGTTCCATGGGAGTATAAACAAGGGTTAGAAACAACAGTCAAATCACAAGATATCCATTTTGTTCCTATACATTTTTTGTATTCTTTATTAGCTACTACATGAGAGAAAACATATATTTGTCTTTTGGGAACTGGCTTATTTCACTAAACCTAATGGTTTCCAGTTGGGTCCATTTTGTTGCAAAAGACAGGTGTGTGGTACTTTTTTAAAATTCTAGTTTCTTAAGCACAATATTATGCTTGCAAGTATCATCCAAGTTGGGGACTGTAGCAGGATTTTATTCATTTGTATTGCTGCCTAGTATAATATTTCATTTCCAGACTGTACTACAATTTATCTTCTTGCTGTTAATGGATAAATGTGTTTCCCATTCTAGGTTTTGGCTATGATTATTCTATGAACAGTTCTTTTGAACTGTTAGTGTATGTGTTTATTTGGGGTGTATACCAAGAACAGAACATGGGTACGTTCTCAGCAGCAGTGTAGGAGTTTTAATTACTCTGTATTTGACTGCTATTTGATAGTAAATTTAGTCACTGGAGTGGATGTATTTTGATATCTCATTATAGTTTAAGTTTGATATCCTTGGTGATAAAAGAGGTTGATGGACGCTTATCAAAGCACGTTCGTGTCTACTACCATTTTTTTCTACTACCATTTTTTTAGGTCACTTGTTTTTCCTTACTGATTTGTAGGAATTTTTCACAGAACTTGATGGAAGTAGTTAAATGGGCATTCTTATCTCATTCCCAATTTCAGAGAGACAGCTTGCAATTTTTTAAGTATGAACATTAGGTTTTCTTATAGATATTCTTTTCTGGATTAAGGAAGTTTCCTCCTACTCCTAGTCAGTGTTTTTGAGATGTTGATTTACTTTTTAAATCAAATGCTTTATTGGCATCCTTCAAGATGATCAATTTTTTTTTCTGTTTTTACTCCTTTAGTGTGATCAATTATACTGATTGATTTTCAGATGTTAAGTCAGCCCTTGTATTCCTGGAGGGAAAATCCAACATTGTTAAAATACAGTTTTCACTATAGTGCTAGATTCTGTTTGCTAGTATTTTGGTTAGTACAGTTTCATCCATGTCCATAGAAGGAATTGGCCTTTTATTTTTCTTTATCGCCTTTGTTACTTCAGGTCTACAGCATATGTTACCCTCATAAGATGAGTTTGGAAGGGGTTTTCATTTTCCTCTCTCCAGAGGAGTTTATGTTTTGTTTGTGTTATTTCGTCTTTAAATGTTTGGGAGAATTAATCAGTGAAACCATCTGGGTCTAGAGTTTTCTTCAAGGGAAGGTTTTAATAACAAAATTGATTTTTCCAATAGATAGGCACTATCTAGCTATCTATCTAATTGTGGTTTCTTTGAAGGTAATCTTCCTCTTTTTCTTTCTGGCTGATTTTTAGATTAAGTTCTTGGGTGTTTTACTACCATTGTATATTGCTGAAGACTCAGTGTTTGCACCTTGCCCCCTCCAGATCCATCTGCTGAAACCTAGGAATCCCCAAGGAGATAGTTTTTGAAGTCGGGACCTCTAGGAGGTGGTCAGGTCACAAGGGCAGAGCCACGGTGATGAGATTAGTGGCCTCATAAAGAAACCCAGTGAGCTGCCTTGTCCCTGGCTGCTGGCGAGGGCAGCGGGAAGACGGCATCCATGAACCAGGAAGCCAGCCCTCACCAACTTCGCCAGCTTCCGGAATTGGGAGAAACTGCTTCCTTTCCAAGTCACCCAGTCCTTGGTATTCTGGCTGGAGCAGCCTGACTGGACTAAGACGTCTATCTATGCATGGCAGGCTCTGCAGGAGGACCTCTGCGTCTCGAGATTCAGGGTTTCCTGTGGCTTGGTGGCTTCCACGGTTTTGCTTTTCTCTGCAAATTCACGGCCCTTGTCTCTTCACTACCTCTGCTGCTTTCTCTCTGGCCTCCCTTCCTGTGACCCACACTAGAAGTCTTTAGACTTTTTCGCCGGTTCTCGCAAGTCTGTTAGGTTCTTCCTTGTCACCTGCATTTTTGTCTCTCTGAACTTGTACTTTCTTCTGGATATTTTTTTCCTGACTATTCTTCCAGTTTCATCTCTGTTAACCTGCTACGGAACCCTTTTGTGGAATTCTGGGTTTGAGATAGACTATTTTGAAGCCCTTTTTTCTTGTATGCAGTTCTGATTTAGTTCTCTTTGCAAGTTGGATCGTGGGTACCACATCGCTGAGATAAGAGGAGTGAGTTCCTAGTGTCACACAGCACAGTGAGGTGACGGAGCTCACAATGACCTGCTACATATTGTCTGAGAAAATGCAAGGGAAGAGTCTGAAGGCTCCAGTCGTCAACTAATGAGGAGGAGATGGGAGCATTAGTTACGCTGATTTCATCAAGATACGTTGTATGCGCTTATTGAAATGTCATGCTATGCCCCATAAATATGTACAATGATTATTAATAAATTATTTAATATTTAAAGAGATGGAAGTGTTAACTGATTGGATCTACACACACTGAATTTATGTATACTCCATAAATTATGTATCATTAAAATGATTTAAAAATTTTTATTAATTATTTTATTTATTTGAAAGAGTTACAGAGAGAGAGGAGAGAAAGAGAGGGAAGAGAGATCTTCCATCCACTGGTTCACTCCCCAATATGGCCTCAATGGCCAGAGCTGGGTGGGTGTGAAGCCAGGAGCCAGGAGCTTCTTCTGGGTCTCCCACGCAGGTGAAGGGATGCAAGGACTTGGGGCATCCTTTGCTGCTTTCCTAGGCACGTTAGCAGGAAGCTGGATTGGAAGCAGGGCAGCTGGGACTTGAACCGGCACCTACATGAGATGCCAGCACTGCAGATGGCGGCTTAACCTGCTGCGCCACAGCACCAGTCCCTGAAAAATTTTTAAATCTAGTTCTTTACCAAAATTCTCAAGCTTGTCTTGAGCTTGTTAGAAGTTTGAAGTTCATGTCTCATAACTTCTTTATCTGGATTGTGTGAGTTTTTACTATCATCCATTTTTTTCTCTTGCGTTTTGGTCAAGTCTCATGTATATAAATGAAGTGGTTTCTTTCTATTTAGGACCAGATGTTGTGCAAATAGAAACGTTACAGAGGTAATTGAAGGTTCTATGAAAAGCTCTTTTTCTCCAGGGAGGATTTATTTCTGCCTCAGGCAGGCAGCTGGCTTTGGAGAACTGGCAATTTCTGATTGTATCCATGCAGCCAAGATAGAGAGGTTCTGAAGCTGGATTCCAGACCCTGTAAGGACTGCCTGTCTCCAGTTCCCTTACTTCTGAAGTGGCGTCACTCAAAATCCAGAATCCGAACTTGCTTACCAGTGAGTGCGCCTCTTCCTTGGGAGGCCTTGACCCTGCAGAACCAGCAGTCCTCCAGATGCCAGGCTCACTTCTCTGCCCTACAGTCTTGTCCTCGTACAACTCCTCCGTGATTCTGAAATTCTTCAGTGCCATCAAGTAGATATTATTAAGATGTTTCCAGCTTCCCTAGTTCCTAGTGGTAGCCATGCTGGACCTGCAGTGCTCCTGAACTGAGGGTTTTGGTGGAGGTCAGTGGGAAGATGTAACACTGTATCTGCCTACAGGACCGAGTTTCTACTTAGGAGGACTTCAAGGGGGATGGGATCTTTAGGGACTGTCATGATCGATCAGGACAGGAGTACAGGGTCTCACGCTGAGGAGAGACCGAGGAAGGGGGAGAGTTGGGCGGAGGGGCAGGTTAATACAGTTTCTTTTTTAGGAGGAGGTTGTTGAACTAGCTGACATCTAAGTTTTCATGTAATTTGAAATTCTGGGATTCTATTAAATGAGCTGGGCTTCCATTTAGGTTAATTTAGAAGTTTAATTAGAACTTAGAATTTCTCCTGTAGAGATAAGGAGGCTTATCATCATAAAGAAAGCTTCTGGGTTTTAATTTCAGCACAATAGCCCCCAGTTGTAAAACACTGAACCAACTTCTTTCCATTTTGCGCAATGGGATTCTGAAATTTTAGGTCCGAAGAGAATGGACTGCAATATTATCTGCTGGGAATTAGGCGTCTGTGGGTCGCTGGATAGTGTAGGCTTATGGAAGCTGCCTTGTTCCTTCCTATCGTAGGCTGCATCACGGTTTCATTGTGCTCTCGCGTGATGTGCGTGTTCTCCTCGTGTGTAAGGCCCTCTCCTCGTGCTGCACCGCTGAGTCCTCCGCATTCCCGTCTGTCCTTGCTCTTCTCTGACCCCGTGTCCCACGTGTCCTTGCTCTTCTCTGACCCCGTGTCCCACGTGTCCTTGCCCTGCCGTAGTTTTCACTGTGTTCTCTAAAATTCTCTCTCTAAGGGAGAACAAGTGCCCTGCCTCCTTGGCTTTCCACGGGCGGTTTCCTTCGGCCATTGTCCTCGACCGAACCCAGATCTCTGAGAGCAACCGGCCTCCCTGCAGCCTCTGTGTGCCATCTCAGCCTCCGGCCTCGCTCATCCTCATGTCAAATTGCCAGCTCCGTTGAGGCCCAGGCTAGTGCTGCACCCAGCCCCTGACTGCGCTTGGGTGTCCCCTCGGCCACACTGTCCTCTCCCTGTATTTCCCCTGCTTCACTGAGTCCTTCAGTCCCTACCGCTCTGCCCCAGGGTCCAGATTAGTAGTCATCCTCTTTTAAACCCCTTACCATCCCTGGATCCCTCCCACACCATATCTAAACAATGGAGCATTGCACCACCGCATTGCTGAGCCTCCTAGCTCAGAGGGCGTGTGGACCTGCCAGTCACTCCGTTCTACCCTAGTAAATCCACTTTCCCACTGCCCAGGGACACTGTGTCACGCCTCTTCCTCTCAGGGCCCAAGCTTCTCTTCCTGTATTCACACGTCATAGTGAGACTGCATTGTAGGAAGCAAACCACCTCACCTTCTTGGTTTTTTAAAAATATTTATTTATTTATTTATTTGAAAGGCAGAGCAACAGAGAGGGAGAGACAGAGAGGTCTTCCTTCTGTTGGTTCGCTCCCTAAATGGCTGCAATAGCCGGAAGTGGGCCAGGCTGAAGCCAGGAGCCAGGAACTCCATCTGGGTCTCCCTTGTGGGTGGCAGTGGCCTAAGCACTTGGGTCGTCTAAGGTTGCCTTCCCAGGCTATTAGCAGGGAGCTGGATCAGAAGTTTAGCAGCTGGGACTCGCCAGCACTCCTGTCTGGATGGCTGGCATCGCAAGTGGTGGCTTAGCCAGCTGCACCACAGTGCTGGCCTCCTCCCTCTCCTTTGCACCAATTCCAGAGGTGACTGTTGTCATCTGTACCCCACCTCTGCTTATGGGACAAGAGGGCCTTCCCTTTCCAACACCAACACCTAACCTCATGGTCTGAATTCTAAACCAAGGGTATGGCTCCTTCTGTTACACGCTTCTCTCTTGATTCACAATCTCTGTGTTGTAGGTCCTTCCTTCCATTGCCATATAAGCACCTATACTGTCACCTGTCTTAAGAACCTTTTCCTTCAAAGATTATAAGCAGTTCATAGGTAAAAACCAGTTTCTTAAAGATTTGAACATACACTCTAGCTCACTTGTGAAAGATTAGTGCAGATTAAAACTGTACAGAGTTGTCATTTTTACCTACCATGTTGGCAGAAATATTGAATTTTGGAAACATACAGTTTGGGGAAGGTGTGGGGGAAAGAGCACTTTCATTCTGTGTCGTTGGAGCATGTAGATACAACCTGCAAGGAGGTCAACTTGACAGTCTCTTGGAAGATTGCTGAATACAGGTGGCCTTTGACCCTGGAGTTGTACTTCTCAAGTTCACCCTCCATCAGACCTGTAAATGTCAAGTTGCCCCCGGGGCTTAGTCTCTGACCTAGTCTTTCCTGCGTCTGCATTCTCGCTGCGGGTGGTGCTGTCCAATCCTAGTACCTTTCATACACCACTGACCATGAGGTTAAGCCCCCCACTCAGACTAGTTTATCTAAACAGCCTGTGTGATAATTTAATGGCATCTCAAATTTAAGGTGACCCCAAAAGGTTTGATTTTCCTCCTTCCCAAATCCACGCCCACTCTTGCCATTTAAAATGGCACTCTTTCATTTAAAAATATATTTCATTAAAAATATATTTCATTTAAAAATATATTTTTTATTTGTTTACTTATTTGTTTCAGAGGAGGTGGCAGAGAGAGAGTGAAAGAGAGAGCATATGCTCTCATCCACCAGTTCACCCCCCACATACCCTCAGTGGCGGGGGGAAGGCCCTGGCCAAAGCCAGGTGCTGGGTGCTCAGTCCATGTTTCCCACACCACTGGCAGGAATCCGATTGCTTGAGCCACCACCTGCTGCCTCCTAGGGTCTACATTAGCAGGAAGATGGAGCGAGGAGCCAGAGCTGGGTGTCAAACCCAGCTGCTCTAGACATGGGACACTAACTGGCATCTTAGCTGCTAGCCCCTCAAGCATCTTTCGTTACAGGAAGTCACGGCCGCTGTCCTCCTAGCTTCTCATACCAAAACAATTAGAAACATTTTTATATCAATTAGGTCTGAACTTCTGACTCTGTTTCTTCCTTGACTTTATTCCACTTTGAGCTGAACTGAAGGATGTTTCTGTTTTAAATGTCCGCTTCGACCTTGAAGCCAGTTGTCATCTTTCACAGCCTAACTAGAGTTCGGCCCCTCCTGACCAAGGGCCTGTCTTGTCGTCGCTCCCTGCCTTCAGCGCTTCCAGCTTCCTCTCCTGTCCTACCTGGGCACCTTTCTTCTTCTGGCCTCCACTGGGGTTCCACTCTTTGAGCAAAACTCAAACTCTTAAATGACTGATACAGAAGGCCAGAATGGCAGTATGATATTTAGAATTGTGAGTTGTAACTGCCAAGTGGATGAGAAAGCTTGTGGCACTCAATTAGCATTGAGGAAGTTATCAGAAGCTGCTTTATATAGGGAATATTTGTCTGGTGAACCTAGAAACACAGCAAGAAGAGTTAGATGGTCTTAAAGGTGACATTAAGCCTGGGATGGCCACCTCTGTGTGTAGTCTGGCCGGTCACTTTGCCATCTGGTCTGCCTGAACCTCACATTCCTAAGAGCAGGGTCTCTGATGCTCTCCATTAGACCCAGTGCTTAGCATGAGGGCGAACACTCCTGGGATTCCCTGCTTGGACCACGCTGTGTGAGCACTGCCCACGTCTACTCCCTGGGTCCTGGTTTTCTCTGATCTCTGCTGCTTATCTCTGTTCTGTTGACAGAGTCTTTCAGAATTAGTCAAACCACAATTGCTTTCTCTCCATTATGGATCTTGAGTCTTTAGGATGGGTTTTGAATACATCTGATTGCAAGTATTTGGCGTAAATTTTGCTAGTTTCACTGTGAGTTTCTGTCTCATGGTCACTTCTATGCACTGCCTCCGCCACTCTGTAGCCTGTGCTTCATGAAGCTGGAGGAGTGAGATGTCTTCTCCTACCTGGGGACATCTGCATGGTGATTTGTGAGCACTTCATAGCCTACAATTACTTGGAATACATCATAATCTGCAGAAATTCAAGAAGAAATGACTCAAGTTGTTCTAAAGATGTAACTGATCTTCAAAATACAAAATGACCACTGAAAGAATGTACCACAGAATCAGAAGGCATTGTGAATGTAGATAACTTTCCTCATATGGAAAACTAGAACCCAAAACAAAGGTATTATAATGAGCTAAATGCATGCTATTTTGTCAGCTTGATAGGAATAATTGAGCAGAAGCAGATGAGGGCTACTAATTTACGAAAGACTTGCAGTTGCATTGTTGTTACAACAATTATAATTGGCTGCCAGTTATAATTACTATTATGATTAGGCTAATGGAATGTTTTATTTTAATATAAG